GACGGTATAAACTGTGTGTAGAATATCGCGTATTTGAGGACGGTATAAACTGTGTGTAGAACATCACGCATTTGAGGACGGTATAAACTGTGTGTAGAACATCGCGTATTTGAGGACGGTATAAACTGTGTGTAGAACATCACGTATTTGAGGACGGTATAAACTGTGTGTAGAACATCGCGTATTTGAGGACGGTATAAACTGCGTGTAGAACATCACGCATTTGAGGACGGTATAAACTGTGTGTAGAACATCGCGTATTTGAGGACGGTATAAACTGTGTGTAGAACATCACGTATTTGAGGACGGTATAAACTGTGTGTAGAACATCGCGTATTTGAGGACGGTATAAACTGCGTGTAGAACATCACGCATTTGAGGACGGTATAAACTGTGTGTAGGACATCGCGTATTTGAGGACGGTATAAACTGTGTGTAGAACATCACGTATTTGAGGACGGTATAAACTGTGTGTAGAACATCGCGTGTATGAGGACGGTATAAAGTGTGTGTAGAACATCGCGTATTTGAGGACGGTATAAACTGTGTGTAGAACATCACGTATTTGAGGACAGTATAAACTGCGTGTAGAACATCGCGTGTTTGAGGACGGTATAAACTGCGTGTAGAGCATCGCGTGTTTGAGGACGGTATAAACTGTGTGTAGAACATCACGTATTTGAGGACGGTATAAATTGTGTGTAGAACATCGCGTGTTTGAGGACGGTATAAACTGCGTGTAGAACATCGCGTGTTTGAGGACGGTATAAACTGCGTGTAGAGCATCGCGTGTTTGAGGACGGTATAAACTGTGTGTAGAACATCGCGTATTTGAGGACGGTATAAACTGTGTGTAGAAAATCGCGAATTTAGTAAGAGATAAACCGCATATTAGAATATCACCTAGTAGAGAAAGGGATAAAATGTCATCTATTGAGGAAGAAGAAAATCTGTGTGTGGAACATGACGTATTTTTTCAAGGGATAAACTGTATATAGAATATAATGTATTACACGAAGGGATAAAATGTGTGTAAGGAACATCACGTATTTGACGAAGGGATTAACTGTGTTTGGGACATTTTGACTATGGGATAAACTTATATATAATATCACTGTGTTTAGGACATCATGTAGTGGAGGAAAGGTGAAACTGTGTGTAGAACACCTAATGAGGAAGGACTGCTCCAAGTGACACAGGTCACAAACAGGGCGAATCTGGGATCCTTATCCACGATCATCGAATCCTATCTCGACAATCGGACGCAACTCTTCACAGCGTAGGGAAGAGCCCTTGTGTGTTGATGTGATATGGGGAGGAAAGCCCGAAGCTTGGCGAGACCTAGCAGTTTACAACTTCGATGAAATCAACGAACACGGGCATTGTGCTGACAAACCAAGACTCATAGCGGGTCTGGAAACACGGGCATTGTGTTGACAAACCAAGACTCATAGCGGGTTTGGCAGCACGGGCATTGTACTGACAAACCAAGACTCATAGCGGGTCAGGGAGCACGGGTATTGTGCTGACAAACCAAGACTCATAGCGGGTTTGGCAGCACGGGCATTGTACTGACAAACCAAGACTCATAGCGGGTCAGGGAGCACGGGTACTGTGTTGACAAACCAAGACTCATAGCGGGTCTGGCAGCACGGGCATTGTGTTGACAAACCAAGACTCATAGCAGGTCAGGGAGCACGGGTATTGTGCTGACAAACCAAGACTCATAGCAGGTCAGGGAGCACGGGCATTGTGCTGACAAACCAAAACTCATAGCGGGTCTGGCAGCACGGGTACTGTGTTGACAGACCAAGACTCATAGCGGGTCAGGGAGCACGGGCATTGTGCTGACAAACCAAAACTCATAGCGGGTCTGGCAGCACGGGTACTGTGTTGACAGACCAAGACTCATAGCGGGTCAGGGAGCACGGGTATTGTGCTGACGGACCAAGACTCATAGCGGGTCAGGGAGCACGGGTATTGTGCTGACAAACCAAGACTCATAGCGGGTCTGGCAGCAAGGGTATAGAGTTGACAAACCAAGACTCATAGCGGGTCAGGGAGCACGGGTATTGTGTTGACAAACCAAGACTCATAGCAGGTCAGGGAGCACGGGCATTGTGCTGACAAACCAAGACTCATAGCAGGTCAGGGAGCATGGGCATTGTGCTGACAAACCAAGACTCATAGCAGGTCAGGGAGCACGGGTATTGTGTTGACAAACCAAGACTCATAGCGGGTCAGGGAGCACGGGTATTGTGTTGACAAACCAAGACTCATAGCAGGTCAGGGAGCACGGGCATTGTGCTGACAAACCAAGACTCATAGCAGGTCAGGGAGCACGGGTATTGTGTTGACAAACCAAGACTCATAGCGGGTCAGGGAGCACGGGTATTGTGCTGACAAACCAAGACTCATAGCAGGTCAGGGAGCACGGGCATTGTGCTGACAAACCAAGACTCATAGCAGGTCAGGGAGCACGGGCATTGTGCTGACAAACCAAGACTCATAGCGGGTCAGGGAGCACGGGTATTGTGCTGACAAACCAAGACTCATAGCAGGTCAGGGAGCACGGGTATTGTGTTGACAAACCAAGACTCATAGCGGGTCAGGGAGCACGGGCATTGTGTTGACAAACCAAGACTCATAGCAGGTCAGGGAGCACGGGTATTGTGTTGACAAACCAAGACTCATAGCAGGTCAGGGAGCACGGGCATTGTGCTGACAAACCAAGACTCATAGCGGGTCAGGGAGCACGGGTATTGTGCTGACAGACCAAGACTCATAGCAGGTCAGGGAGCACGGGCATTGTGTTGACAAACCAAGACTCATAGCAGGTCAGGGAGCACGGGTATTGTGCTGACAGACCAAGACTCATAGCGGGTCAGGGAGCACGGGCATTGTGTTGACAAACCAAAACTCATAGCGGGTCTGGCAGCACGGGTACTGTGTTGACAGACCAAGACTCATAGCGGGTCAGGGAGCACGGGCATTGTGCTGACAAACCAAAACTCATAGCGGGTCTGGCAGCACGGGTACTGTGTTGACAGACCAAGACTCATAGCGGGTCAGGGAGCACGGGTATTGTGCTGACGGACCAAGACTCATAGCGGGTCAGGGAGCACGGGTATTGTGCTGACAAACCAAGACTCATAGCGGGTCTGGCAGCAAGGGTATAGAGTTGACAAACCAAGACTCATAGCGGGTCAGGGAGCACGGGTATTGTGTTGACAAACCAAGACTCATAGCAGGTCAGGGAGCACGGGCATTGTGCTGACAAACCAAGACTCATAGCAGGTCAGGGAGCATGGGCATTGTGCTGACAAACCAAGACTCATAGCAGGTCAGGGAGCACGGGTATTGTGTTGACAAACCAAGACTCATAGCGGGTCAGGGAGCACGGGTATTGTGTTGACAAACCAAGACTCATAGCAGGTCAGGGAGCACGGGTATTGTGTTGACAAACCAAGACTCATAGCAGGTCAGGGAGCACGGGCATTGTGCTGACAAACCAAGACTCATAGCGGGTCAGGGAGCACGGGTATTGTGCTGACAGACCAAGACTCATAGCAGGTCAGGGAGCACGGGCATTGTGTTGACAAACCAAGACTCATAGCAGGTCAGGGAGCACGGGTATTGTGCTGACAGACCAAGACTCATAGCGGGTCAGGGAGCACGGGCATTGTGTTGACAAACCAAAACTCATAGCGGGTCTGGCAGCACGGGTACTGTGTTGACAGACCAAGACTCATAGCGGGTCAGGGAGCACGGGCATTGTGCTGACAAACCAAAACTCATAGCGGGTCTGGCAGCACGGGTACTGTGTTGACAGACCAAGACTCATAGCGGGTCAGGGAGCACGGGTATTGTGCTGACGGACCAAGACTCATAGCGGGTCAGGGAGCACGGGTATTGTGCTGACAAACCAAGACTCATAGCGGGTCTGGCAGCAAGGGTATAGAGTTGACAAACCAAGACTCATAGCGGGTCAGGGAGCACGGGTATTGTGTTGACAAACCAAGACTCATAGCAGGTCAGGGAGCACGGGCATTGTGCTGACAAACCAAGACTCATAGCAGGTCAGGGAGCATGGGCATTGTGCTGACAAACCAAGACTCATAGCAGGTCAGGGAGCACGGGTATTGTGTTGACAAACCAAGACTCATAGCGGGTCAGGGAGCACGGGTATTGTGTTGACAAACCAAGACTCATAGCAGGTCAGGGAGCACGGGCATTGTGCTGACAAACCAAGACTCATAGCAGGTCAGGGAGCACGGGTATTGTGTTGACAAACCAAGACTCATAGCGGGTCAGGGAGCACGGGTATTGTGTTGACAAACCAAGACTCATAGCAGGTCAGGGAGCACGGGCATTGTGCTGACAAACCAAGACTCATAGCAGGTCAGGGAGCACGGGCATTGTGCTGACAAACCAAGACTCATAGCGGGTCAGGGAGCACGGGTATTGTGCTGACAAACCAAGACTCATAGCAGGTCAGGGAGCACGGGTATTGTGTTGACAAACCAAGACTCATAGCGGGTCAGGGAGCACGGGCATTGTGTTGACAAACCAAGACTCATAGCAGGTCAGGGAGCACGGGTATTGTGTTGACAAACCAAGACTCATAGCAGGTCAGGGAGCACGGGCATTGTGCTGACAAACCAAGACTCATAGCGGGTCAGGGAGCACGGGTATTGTGCTGACAGACCAAGACTCATAGCAGGTCAGGGAGCACGGGCATTGTGTTGACAAACCAAGACTCATAGCAGGTCAGGGAGCACGGGTATTGTGCTGACAGACCAAGACTCATAGCGGGTCAGGGAGCACGGGCATTGTGTTGACAAACCAAGACTCATAGCAGGCCAGGGAGCACGGGCATTGTGCTGACAAACCAAGACTCATAGCGGGTCTGGGAGTTGGACCCATGATCAGTGGGTGTTAAACCGTGTGTGGAGACTGGATATTGAGGAGAAGTACGTCAGTCAGGTGCAACTACTCACCCCCATCCAAGTCTGGGTAAACACGTCCTGGGAGTACCGGCAGCAGTAGGCGTGGATGCAGAGGAGGAGGAGCACCATCAGGCCACACCCACCCAGGCCCACAAAGACCCCGCCCACCGATGAAAAGCCACTGTAGGAGATAACAGTATTGATTACCATTCGATTTAATAACTTCAATGACGAATGACGAACGAAAAACTGAAATTTAAACATTGTATGAAATCAGTTATTACGACGTGGTTTACCTAGGTAAAACATTGTTATTCTAAATTCATATATGGGTATGGTGATAACAAACCAAGGATGAGAGACGGGTGGATTCTGGGTTCGAATCCGCGTTCAGCAGATCCTGGCACAACTAGAACAGCGATTATTAGCCCGGTTCTCTGGGTATGCTGCGCTGGCGCAGTGTAGCGCCAGCGCAGCATACCCATGGAACCAGGTTGCAGCGATTATCAGCAAATTGACGACTGGTCATAATCAAAACGTAACCCTTTACAGGCATGTTCTTATTATATCTCTGGCTAGACACGCCGAAGGCCGGCCTCGATTCTGCACGTTGATACAATGTGTTAAGAACGTAGAAACTGAGATTGACCCGAACAATTATAAAAACGGAGAAAATTCAGTCTCACTCATTCACTACTGATAGTGTATTTATCACAAGTCATGAATACACAATGCGATTTTGAAAGTGGTCAAATGGGATGTTATATTTGTGATAACACTTTTTTTTAGTAAAGTACAGATTCTAGTACTTTTTTGGGTTCCATCACTCTGGGTGTGTGGGTTCGAATTCCGAAAGGGACCCAACCCCCAAAAGTAGCGTTCAGCCATGGGAGCCGTGCCAATTTACACTTATCAGAGGGGTACACACATTACGTGATCTAGACTAGCTGTTGACGGACTTTCATTTTTGTGGAAGCCTCGGTGGCTGAATGGGTTAGATCGCTGACTCTGTGTGCTGGCGATTAGGTGCCTCACTGCGAGAGTGGGTTCAAATCCCGAATTTGGACTCAATCCAAACAGGTACTAGAATCTGTACCTAACTAAGAAAGTGTTATCCCAAATATAACATATGTTACGTTATTACAAATCATATATACAATATCACACAGAAACAAAAAAACTATTTCAATAACTAAAGAACCTTTCCCACAACCGATTCGACTAAGCAGCGTCGGGCACATATTTCTCATGTCATTCCAATTCCGTCTCAGATAAACACATGAATAGCCGAGCATGTCGTGGGTGGGGTGAGCTATGTGCAAAGATATACACCACAGCTGTACATTGTGGGGGACTAGCCCTGGAATCTCGTACACTTTATAACAAGGGAGGTATAGAGGTTTATCTTCCCGCTAGTTTGATAACATACAATTTTAACTGAAATACACTCCTTATCGGCCTTACACTGTAGCACTGGGGATAGGGCCGTGTTCAACCAACCTAAAACTGCATCTTGAAATGTAATCACTTTCTAAGTATAGTTCAACGTCAAACTGAGATAAGATGTTAGATTCATGATAACGTTTCGAGGTTTGATACACGCCAAGTTTAGCTGCACGGGAAGAAATGTTAGTTTGATGAAAAGGGTTGACGACATATTAATCTTCGAGCACATTCCTGTTTGTCTACATATCAAAGATGCTCCTCCCCCTAAACGTATTCTAGGGCGTCGTAGAAACATGGCGTTCCACCTAAACATGGAGAGAACAGTTTGGTTCTTCTTTGAAGTCCATGGTATGAGTTTGATAGCTACGAAATGAGTCAGATGTAAAGGTCCGCTTTTATTATCCACCTGCCTCTAAAACATACCACTTACACAAACGTTTTAATAGAGTACGAATAAAATAATGTTTATACCCCTCGTTCCCAAATTAATTATCCGTTTTTTTGTGTGCTTTTTGTTGTTGTTTAACGCCACACTCAGCAATGTTCCAGCTATATGACGGTGGTCTGTAAATAATGGAGTCTGGACCAGACAATCCGGTGATTGATATCATGAACATCATCCACGCAATTGGGATCGATGACATGCATCAACCAAGTCAGCGAGTCTGACCACCTGATCCCGTTATTCGCCTCATACGACAAGCATACTCGCCATTTACGGCAAGCATGGGTTGCTGAAGGCCTATTCTACCCCGGATCTTCACGGGTCTAATTATCTGTAAATATATAAATTGTTAGTGATTCTGTGCCATTTAATTGGCTAACCATGTAAGTTTGTCTTCGTTAATGTCGCTTCGCGGATTTAAACATTATGCGCACATGTTTTTACGTGAATACAACCATACACATAGACTTGCACAAGTCCCTAAGATTTATTAGTTTAAAAAATAATTTCAGATAATGTAAACAAAAAACACAAGTTGTCAACAAATCTAGACTTGCCTATTAGGAGATTGGAATTACAACATCCATGGATTTATCTTTCAATACAGCCTTGGAGCAAGGCTAACGGAAACTACATCAGTATATTATTTTCATCAAATATTGAGATGGGAAATGTAATTTGTCAAAAAGTTTGACATACAACGTGCTAGATGGATGCAAATAATTCGGGAACAAATTATGGTTTATAGTCGTGTTATTTGTGTTGAAAACATACCGGCAAATGATTGAGTTATCTGTTTACATGTTGAATAAGTTCTTTTGGCGATAACATATTTACTTATGCCAGGTGAGCTAAAACTCCTGGACTTACATCAAGTCTCTGAAATCAAAATATTTTACAAATGAGTTCTTACATTGTTCTGATAAAATATAATACAAAGGAGCCCAGAGACAATATTCATTTTCTTAAACTGCAGTAATCTAGACTTGCCAACTATTACAGACTTGCATAGTCTTGGGTTGGGATCTGGGGTCTTGGGTCTTGGGTTGGGGTCTTGGGTTGGGGTCTTGGGTTGGCGTCTTGGGTTGGCGTCTTGGGTTGGCGTCTTGGGCTGGGGTCTTGGGTTGGCGTCTTGGGTTGGGGTCTTGGGTTGGCGTCTTGGGCTGGGGTCTTTGGCTGGGGCCTTGGGTTGGCGTCTTGGGCTGGGGTCTTGGGTTGGGGTCTTTGGCTGGGGTCTTGGGCTGGGGTCTTGGGTTGGGGTCTTGGGTTGGGGTCTTGGGCTGGGGTCTTGGGCTGGGGTCTTGGGCTGGGGTCTTGGGCTGGGGTCTTGGGTTGGGGTCTTGGGTTGGGGTCTTGGGCTGGGGTCTTGTTTTGGGGTCTTGGGTCTGGGGTTGGGGTCTTGGGCTGGGGTCTTGGGTTGGGGTCTTGGGCTGGGGTCTTGGGTTGGGGTCTTGGGTTGGCGTCTTGGGCTGGGGTCTTGGGTTGGCGTCTTGGGCTGGGGTCTTGGGTTGGGGTCTTGGGCTGGGGTCTTGGGTCTTGGGCTGGGGTCTTGTTTTGGGGTCTTGGGTCTGGGGCTGGGGTCTTGGGTTGGGGTCTTGGGTTGGCGTCTTGGGCTGGGGTCTTGGGTTGGCGTCTTGGGCTGGGGTCTTGGGTTGGGGTCTTGGGCTGGGGTCTTGGGCTGGGGTCTTGGGTTGGCGTCTTGGGCTGGGGTCTTGGTTTGGCGTCTTGGGCTGGGGTCTTGGGTTGGGGTCTTGGGCTGGGGTCTTGGGTTGGCGTCTTGGGCTGGGGTCTTTGGCTGGGGTCTTGGGTTGGCGTCTTGGGCTGGGGTCTTGGGTTGGCGTCTTGGGCTGGGGTCTTGGGTTGGGGTCTTGGGCTGGGGTCTTGGGCTGGGGTCTTGGGTTGGCGTCTTGGGCTGGGGTCTTGGGTTGGCGTCTTGGGCTGGGGTCTTGGGTTGGGGTCTTGGGCTGGGGTCTTGGGCTGGGGTCTTGGGTTGGCGTCTTGGGCTGGGGTCTTGGGTTGGCGTCTTGGGCTGGGGTCTTGGGTTGGGGTCTTGGGCTGGGGTCTTGGGTTGGCGTCTTGGGCTGGGGTCTTTGGCTGGGGTCTTGGGCTAGGGTCTTGGGCTGGGGTCTTGGGTTGGCGTCTTGGGCTGGGGTCTTGGTTTGGCGTCTTGGGCTGGGGTCTTGGGTTGGGGTCTTGGGCTGGGGTCTTGGGTTGGCGTCTTGGGCTGGGGTCTTTGGCTGGGGTCTTGGGTTGGCGTCTTGGGCTGGGGTCTTGGGTTGGCGTCTTGGGCTGGGGTCTTGGGTTGGGGTCTTGGGCTGGGGTCTTGGGTTGGGGTCTTGGGTTGGCGTCTTGGGCTGGGGTCTTGGGTTGGCGTCTTGGGCTGGGGTCTTGGGTTGGGGTCTTGGGCTGGGGTCTTGGGCTGGGGTCTTGGGCTGGGGTCTTGGGCTGGGGTCTTGGGTTGGCGTCTTGGGCTGGGGTCTTGGGTTGGGGTCTTGGGCTGGGGTCTTGGGTTGGCGTCTTGGGCTGGGGTCTTTGGCTGGGGTCTTGGGCTAGGGTCTTGGGTTGGCGTCTTGGGTTGGGCTCTTGGGTTGGGGTCTTTGGCTGGGGTCTTTGGCTGGGGTCTTGGGTTGGCGTCTGGGGCTGGGGTCTTGGGCTGGGGTCTTGGGTTGGGGTCTTGGGTTGGCGTCTTGGGCTGGGGTCTTTGGCCGGGGTCTTGGGTTGGGGTCTTGGGTTGGCGTCTTGGGCTGGGGTCTTGGGCTGGGGTCTTTGGCTGGGGTCTTGGGTTGGCGTCTTTGGCTGGGGTCTTGGGTTAGGGTCTTGGGTTGGCGTCTTGGGCTGGGGTCTTTGGCTTGGGTCTTGGATTGGCGTCTTTGGCTGGGGTCTTGGGTTGGCGTCTTGGGCTGGGGTCTTGGGCTAAGGTCTTGGGTTGGGGTCTTGGGTTGGGGTCTTTGGCTGGGGTCTATTGTATTATCAGATGAAATATGTAAACAAAATCCCGAAACTGTGTTTGGGATCTGTTTTTAGTTTAAACATATTTTATTCTCGCGAAAAGGAATGGGCACAAGTTATCACTACTTAGAACGCCCTGTCCCATAGATTTACACGTATGCTTATTTACAATTCATAAATTAAATGACAGAAAGGAAAGAAAGAAAATAGAGAAACGTATATACATTCGCATTGCTCACACAACCCTTTTTGTTTACTTTATATATGTGTGTACATTTCCAAAAATGTTTTCGTTCACATGACTGGGTAAACTTGTATTGCCAACTAGCATCAGGTCAATA